TTAGAAGGACAAAGTGATTACAGAGATATAAGCAAAGACTTAACAGGCCTTTTATTTTCTTTGTCCTAACCGATGTTTTTGACAAAAGTGTCAAAAACAAAAGTTTTGAGAAAATGTCAAAAGTTTTCAACCAAGTCAGTTTTAAGCATACAGGGAGCGTCAAAAAAGTGTAGCAGTGTGAAGTTTTATTCTTTTAAATCGAACACCATGTATATTGTGCGCTTATTAGTTAGCCCCCTTTAACCTGATTTCAACGAGTTATGGTTTGATGTGTCTTTCTTCAATAGTTATAGGGGAAATAACTATCGAAGATAAATATATCAAACCGTATATCGTTGAAATCTGGTTGAAGGGGACTAATAAATAAGCGCACAATAAACATAGTCTTCCATTTGAGAAAATTTAACTTCGCTCTGCTACAATTTTTTGAGGCACCCTGTATAGAGCATTCAGACGTTTTCCTCGGAATTGGCTGGAGTCTACCGTCCAAGGCAAGAACTACAGAATGTTTTATAATTGACAGCTCAGCACCTGTATCGATAAGATACGTAAATGAAAGCGCCCTTTCTTCGCATAAAACCGAGGCTATCGGTGCTGTTGACAGATGTTCTCATCTATAGCGCTTTTTTAGGCTTCCCATGCTTCAGCCAACAGTTGACGTCAGTGTGACGGTGTGACCCATTTTCTTAGAGAAATCACACACAGGAACATTAGTAGCCTTGTCGGTGGCAGGGGTTAACGCACTCTTAAGAAATGATTCAACAGGCTCTCCACTTTTTTCTGATTCTGGACCAATCGGCATTTGCTTTGATGATGTCCAAGCCGGCCGCATTTAAAGCATCTAGTAGTCGATTGTTCAAATCGCGCGACCCTTGGATCGTATATCTTTCATTCTCTGTCCTTCGTGCCCCTCGTTTTTCGGCGCTAATCTTGAATGATCTTTCACGTCGGGCATCAAACTCGCAGGCTGAGACTGATATTTCATGGTAGCTGATTATAGAACCGGTTAATTGACGTAGTTTGTGGTTACCATGATCAGATAATGATTCACGGTCTCGGCTGCTTAGGGTTGCAGCTATATGTGCACGAGTGACAGGGGTTTCACGGTCAGGAAATGCAACAATAAGATCAATGCAGAAATTGTCCTGGAAATAGGTCTCCAATCACGATAATAAGGGTATCTCCGATACTTAAAAGCATTGCCAGGTTTGCTGATCATTAAAATATCGCCGACGTTGAGTTTTTTCTTTAAATTTGAATAATTTTCAAACCATTCATTGATTGGGTAAGAACTTTTATCAGGGTCATAGCTCGTGATCCCAAAAGAAGGCACTTGTGCACTCGAGGTCTCCATTCCTATTTCCTGAGTGACTGGCGTTGGCTGCAACGGTGACGTTAGGCTCTTTGTTTGATTCGTTAATAAGGCGATTTGCTTCTGCTGGATGGCTACTAAGTTGATGAATGTTTCCTGCCACTGAGACGCTTGGTACTAGATGGCAGCGTTTGCGTCTGCTCGAAATCAAATCTTCGGCCATTTTGTCTTTTTCTTTACCGGACCCGTCTTTTGTTATAACTGGGAAAAAGTCACTTTTGAATTTCCAACGAGCAATTCAATGGACAAGAGTCAATCCCACTTCTGATAATAACTCTATTACAAAAAAATACTATTTTCACAACAAACAATAGCCTTTATTGCCCGTTAATAAACAAAGGTTCAATATTAGCAATAAGCGGTACATCTGTGCAATGACGACTGACTTTCACTTTCTGCCGCGTCGATCGACTCGATGTCGGTCGATTCCCGAACGATCAGCAGATTCGGCTTCGGCAGGGCTCGGCTATCCTTCAACACAGCTATTGTTTTTTTTTTTTATGGGCGAGTTCGGTTAAGTTAGGTGGTTTTTGTTTTTCAGATATCAGCTGACGGCTAACATAAATATACCTAAAGGTACTAATCTATTGGCTGAATCATTGTTTCTATTGCCTATTCTCGAAGACACAATTTGCATCAGAAACGCCCAAAAATGAAATTCGTTGTGCCTATTGTATTGTGCTGCTTGGTAGTGGCTTTGTTGGTGAGTAAGATTTTTTAAATATAATATGTATATTTATTGGCTATTCTGTTTTCTGCTTTATTTTCTGTAAGATTCTCTTGGCTTCGTCTAGCTTCATAGCCGCTATTCCAAATCATAAACTTTTCTTTTGGGTGACTTTTTTATTTGGCAGGTACACTCTATAATTTTTTCAAATCTCGTGTTGAAGGCAGAAAAAGTGTCACTTGAAATGCATCATGCAAATGAACCTGGACAAAACTTATATCCCTTCTTACAGATTCCTATCTATTCTACTCCTTCTTGTCAAGAACATTTAGAACGAACAACAAAATGCTATAACTAAGATAGGTAGGTACCTAGTTCCAAGTTCAGTTGGTTGTATTTGCCACATCCTTGTTTCCTATTTGGACCAATCTCCTTCTTTGAGAAAACACCTATAGCAGTCCTGATGAAGTGAAACTACAACTAACTTTGTCAATTATTCTCCATTATTATTCACTTTCCAGGGTAGCACTGGAAATAGCGTTGAGTTTTGTTTCTGTATAATAAATTATTTCACTAATTCAATTTACTTTCTAAAACTTGCTGCATGCGCTTGTTGTTTGTGTAATTTTGTTGATACAGTGTTATTAGAAAAAGAAATAATGTCCTGATACCTACATGCATAATATTAGGTTCTACAAAAAATCATCGTGTGTGACAAATGAGACCCTCTTTAATTGTAAGTTAAGCTTTTTTTTTCTTCCATGTTCGGCTGTAGCTATTTTGTTTGTGTATTTAAGAATCAGGATAGGTCCTCGTGTGAGTCAAAGTAGTTTTATTATTACCTATTTATTTTTTATTGATTATTTTTTAATTTGTGCTATCGATTTTAGTTTTTTTGCTTTTTATGAAAGATTTTGTCCAAATCATTATGTTGAATCTTTTTAACATTTTCAATATTTCAAATCACTTATTTCTTACGAACTATCTCGTAGTTTTAGAGCTTTGAAAAAGAAAATATATTTTTCAAAACGTCGGCATATTAATATTGGGTTTTATTAATTCCTGATCCAAAAACCCCAACAAATACCTTACCTATTTCACTAATATTTGAAATTGGCATTATTGGATAAAGCAACTGAAAATAGAATTTTCTGCACCCTTATTTTTGGAAAACTTGGAGTTCTTTTTGAGAAAATAAATAGAAAAGAAAAGAGTTTATCATCATTACGTCCCAACTTGCATTTTGACAGTGTTGCCACTAATTGTCAGCATTGAAAATTTGTAATAGATTTAATTCTAAAAAGTTGGCAAAATACCAAAAAAAATAAATTGTTAAATTTAAATTTATTTTTCGTAATCAGTAATAGTCCCTCGTTTAAGATTTTATGCTTAAATTATTTGTTTAAAATTGTTAGGTAAGACCCGATAAAAAATAAAAATAAAAGCTATATTCAGCTTTTGGTGGAACATGTGTCAAGTAGATTAAAGCCAGTAGACGCTGAAAAAACATTCAACTATACAGGGTGTCCCACTAAGGTCGGCCAGGTACGATATTATGGAGACCATAGACCTTACGTAACTTGAAAACGAATGCAGATATTGAATTGCGGTTTGCGCCAAAATGTAGATATTTTTTTGCTCTTCAAGCACAGCAATACAAAAATAATATTATGCCATTTGGATTTTTCATGAAAATTAGAAAAAAACTGTATCTTGAATAAACAGCGCCCTCTAGAAGACTCGGTGGGAACTATCGACCTCGAACGAAGTGGTGTTCTTAATAACAATGAAATTCTCTTCCAAATAAACCCAAATTGAATGAGTTTGAATGAGGGGGTATGGAAGATACAGCATTTCTAAAAAAAAAAATTCACCAGCTTCCCCCACCCTTAATACTGAAGATACGAAAAAAAGCCTAATAACCAAACTGGCGCAAAAATTAATATAGCGATTTCTTGAGAAAAGTTGAATTTTTAGCTATATCATCGTAATTGCGCCCCCTAGCGCCCACATAACAAAATTGCATCCTTAGAATGTATTAAGAATGTTCTTTTTTTAGGAGGAATGTGCCTAGAATGTCGCCAAAACCATTGCGAACCACTGGGAAATCCATTAGGATATTCCTAGAATATACCTATGAGATTCTCAGTACATCCTGAAAAGAATATTCCTGTTTGATTCTAAAAATATGCTCGAAATGTATATTCTCATATTCAAAGAATGTTTCTATGACATTATAGTTATGTTCTCAAAAGAATATTATACCAATATGCTTGAAATATTCTTAGAATATATCTACATATATCATTCTCAATATGCATCCTAGACATAACATTCTTGTTTGATTCTAAGGATATACTTGGAATGTTAATTTTCTTTTCCAAATAATGCTCCTTCCAGTCCTTTTATATTAAAGGCAGTGAAAGAATTGTTGGAAAATTTCTCAGGAAAACACAAGTGACAAAAGTGTTTAACCAAAACTCCGGTTTCGAGCTTGTTATGCTCTCGTCGAAGCACGCCAACTGAGAGAAACAGGTTCCAAGGTGATTCAAACGCGAGGCAAGATGTAGATCTTTAATAGCGCGTGGCTCCCTCTCTTGGAAGTCCTACAAAGCAAAAGAAAAAGAATATACCTATAATATTCTTAGTAGGTTCTAGATAGAGCATTATTGTTTAATTGTTCAATTAAGTTTTTGAGTAGGTACTTTAGATAATAAGGTGAACAATATGGAAATATTCTTATCATGGGTACCTACCTACATAAACTTCTCAGCACAACTTGGTAGGTATATTCTTAATTCATGATAGAGATATTAGCCGAAAGAACATTTTTCAGGGTACATAATAATAATGTTCGTATGAGAATATTCAAATAATGTTATATAAAGTAGGTTCTTAGTACAATCTTTCAGGTAGGTGCATAGAAGCAACATTCCTAGTACATAAATAGAACGTTCAAAAATGAATATTTCAATCGAAACAATCTTAGAATATTCATTGAACATTCCTAAAAGAACATCCCAAAAAGTACTTTGAGGGAATATTCTGAGAATATGAATGTTCTTTCACTGTTATGTGGGCGGTCATCCTAGAAACTTGAAAATAATTTCCATCAATTTTTCTTGGCCGATTTAGTGAAGAAAAAAAAAATCCCGAAGCCGTAAGGTCTATGGTTTCCATAATATCGTACCTGGCCGACCTTAGTGGAACACCTGGTACAATATAATTATTTACCTACCTATTTCTAGGCAGATATTCCAGAATCAGCCATGAAACAGCTTATAGCTGTTACTGCGAAATGTCAAGACGATCCTGCCACCGCTGTCAACGAGAAAGCTATAGATGACTGGAAAAAAGCTAATAGAGATGCTAGTCGACCTCCTGATAACTTAGGACCGCACACCTTATGCATTGCTAAGGCAATGGACTGGATAAAACAAGACGGAAAACCTAATACAGAAGGCTTAAGAGAAAAACTCAGGGCAAGAGTATCAGATAAGGCCAAAGTTGAAAAAATTCTCAATAAGTGTGCAGCGGAAAAAGAAACCCCAGAGGCTACAGCTTTACACATGGTTCAATGTGTTATTCCTACTGAATAATAATGTTTCGAATGACATAATTAAAATTATTAATAATATATATTCGTATAATAGTTATAATATAGTTTTTTCCTACAGTACTTGATGTTACATACTTGCTGTATATATATATATATTTTAAATAACCAATAATATAAATTCAATATGAGTAAGTACACAGTATACAAGAATTAGATAGCTAACTCGATCGTTCTCAGACGGGTTAAACAAAATTGGATCAGATAAAAGTTTTGGGATGTACCTACTCTATAAGTTGATCAGTCCAGTTTCAAATATGCCTAAAGGTTTCGTCAATTCTCAGGAATAAAGTAGTACACACATTTATGTCTGAAACTTTTATTTTATTTTCTTTAGCCTGTTATTTCTGTTAATACCACTTAGCTTTAACCAATCTATAACAGAATTTCAATGACAATAATATGAAATTTTGTTATAAATTGGTACAATATTCACTTAAATACACATGAAATTTCGTTTCGCTTTTATAATATTTTTTATTCTGTGTTTAATATTTTCGATTCACTTTAGTGATCACCATATTTGTAAAAATATCTCTTAACTTATTGTTTAAAACTTAGCATAATATAATTACAGCTTAACTACCCAGCATTTAAAAAAAATAATTTTCTATAAAACTCAAATGCAACTTAACATAATCTTAATCAGATAAATAAACATCATAGATATACCTACATGAAAAGGCTTTAAAAGGACCTTATTGATTCATATTGTAGAAGACTACCTACTAATTTAAAATGTTGCGATAGTACCTACTTTAGCTAGAGCTTCTCAAACTCAGCTTTCTAAAATTATTTAAATAAGCATTATATACATTGTTGCATCAATAAGGTAATTATTTTAAAGGGTAATACTATGCGAAGTCAAGCAAGTTTCGAAAAATAAAGCTGTTTCCGTTGGTGTTGCTTTGGAAACTTTGCATTCTGAGACAATGGCATCTATATCCTGATTTACTTCAGCTTTTTTGGTAACTCGTTTTTTCAAATTTTTTTCAATTACCATGCCGAATTCGTTGATGTACCCCAAACCTTGAAAATATTTATGTATTATGTCAAATCGTGAAATTTTCTATTTACCTTTTAGAATGCAAAGCTTGTGATCTCCGTAATTGTCGGGTAGGTCAACTTGTTTGTGTTTTTTCAGTTTTTTCAAAATGGAATTATCAATTTTAGTTGCATCATTTTTCTGGCATTCCTTAAATACTTTCTTTAGCGATTTGGCCTTTTTTTCGTTTTCGGGCTTGTTTTTTGCTGAGACAGCCTGTTAAGTTTCAAGTATAATAACAATAAATTAAACATTTTGTCACTTACGTCAAGAGCTAAAAGAACCACACACAAAACAACAAAAAGTTTCATGTTTATTTCCAACTATTTATTTCAAAACGCCAGTGACAGAAAAGCAGAAATCTTGGTCGTTGAATACTGTTACTAATAAACAACATCAAGCGGTCACATTCTGCATTATCGTGCTTTCGATTATTTTCAAGGGGTCATCCAGGAGTCATAAGTTAACTGATGCAGTCTAATTATAGCTGGTATACGAAAGCGCATGGTAAAGTAATAAAAGATTAGATTGAGAGCATTGTCAGACTATTTGATACTGTTTAAATTGGTTGGGTAGAATAAGTGCAGGAGCTTAAACTGGCTTTAACAGCCAAATTAATCTCAACATTTTAAGATAGTTGATTTATATGAGCAGGAGTTTTTGTTGAATGTATTAGTATACCTGGCAAGACTTCAAGATTTTTCATTGAAAACATAATTGAAAGTAAATAAAGTATATTAATTTATATTTTTATGTTTTTTTGTTTGTTTTAGTTTAGAAGAAAGTAGGTTCCACCTGGGATATACCTGCTCCAGTGCAGGAAGTTTGATGACAAAACTCTGTGTGAAAAGTTAACAACAAATTTTTGATCCCGTTGTTTTTGGCATCTCACCCCACAAAAAAAGTTCTTGCAAATTTGCAATGCCCATTTTAGAAAAATATTTAGATAAATCACCAATCAACAAATATGAGATGAAAACACAATGAATTTAATATCAAACTTTGAGGTAGGCGCCTCCAACGAGATTTTCTCTAGAACATGTGCATCACATTGCAAATTAACAATAAACCAAAAATATCCACTCACTCGACTTCAAAAATAATATTGGCATGGGCGCAATTGACCGTTGTCCGTTTTTATAGGAATTCCTCTGGTCTTTGAGCACTCGCCGCTCGTGTCTGGCCTCCACAAGTTGCAGTGACCCCGCCCTCCCTTCTTTCGGAAATGCTGCCGATCGCCGATTCTGCTGAATGATCCATGCAGCATCACAATAGGTAATCTCTTGTATCCATAGGCGTACAATTTTAGTTTCCTTAAAAAAATTGAGTAAAAATCAAAAAAATATAAATTATACCTGTGCAGTTCTTGATTCCCCAAACAATATTTTTTCTTTTTTAATTTAATGTTTATCAACATACCATAGTTTCATTTTTGTCATTAGATAAGAGAAAGTTGTTATTGCTATAAATAGCAGTTGTCAAAATATATTATTCATTCGTCACACGCATTTTCCATTATCTCCAAAAAGTTTAGAAAGTAGTAAGTACCTAGTCCATCAAATCATCCATTCCGTTCACCATCAAGAATATTGATATTCACTTAAGCGAAAGGATTTTCATCCAAAATCCACGAACTTCTCAACATTTTGGTCCTTCGAGCCGGATACAGGAAAAGCGATTCAAATATTGGTCGTTATTCAGGAAGAATACGCGTCTCTTTACATTCCAAATCAATTCAGGTCCTTCGAAATTCAGCGTAAATGGCGAAAACCAATATTTGCATTAATTGAACCCTATGCTGGAACAACGTTGTAAACGACAATGTGTAAAAACGGTATTTCCATGGAATAACGTTGAATTGTACCCTGGATAATTCGCCAACTTAATAGTGGGATAATATGATTTTTTTGTTGATGAAATGTTGATGAAATGTTGATGCCATTTCAATTGGCCCAGTATGTCCTTTTTGTGCAATAACGTTTTAAGTGCAACCGCCCTAGTTTCGCGCTTGTTTGGTATATTTGGCGTTTGAAACGTTGTTCCAGCATAGGGTTCAATTCTTCAAAAAAATATTGTTTGGGAAATCAAGAGCTGCAGACTACGTATCTACTGCGATTTTGACAAAGGGATAATACCCACATAATCAGAAAAGTTTAAATATATACCTTATATACTCAATTTCCGGAAAACCTGCCCAGGCAGATCATCCAATAAATTTATAGACTCTAACGAACAAACGAACTTAATGACCGACAGATTAGCTGCTTCTTATTCGACGATACATAATCTACAAATACATAATAATAAACATTAACAATTTCTGTAACTACTACCATAAGTTTTTTGAATGTTTTGTAAATTTGACGGACGTTGATTTCCCTATATGTATATGAAAGTTATCTTCTGAATAAGACTGAAGACACAATGACAAATAGGTACAAGGTACAAGTGACAAGAGACAAAAATATAATAACACGTGTATCAATACTGTAACCCAGAATAAATGGATACAGGATACAATTTACTTGCAGCACCATGATACAAAATTTCGAATTTTTAGTATTCTGTATCTTGTCACTTGTACCTTGTATTTGTCATTGTGTCTTCATCCTGAAGAATTCAAATACAACTTTGTTCTAAAAGATAACCAACAACTGAGAGAATATCTCGGTGTTGGATGTTACCTTGCCCTAAATGGTATTGAAAATTGGTAAATGTTATTGACAGCTCTGGGAACTATTTGGTTTCTTAAATTATTAAAAAGTCACCAAGCCATTTATCTAGAGAGATTAACGTTGTCAAATTAATTCAAAATAAAACCAAAGAAAATAACATCATTTTTACCAAAGTAGATAAGGGGAACGCTGTTGTAGCCACACCTGAAGACCAATACGTTCAGAAAACTTTAGAATTCTTAGATTCCAACAATTATTAGAAAATTAGTTTCTATCCAACAAACCATTACCAAAAGATGATTATCAAAGAACTTTGAATTTTGAATGAATTTGAAAACCAGAATTAAACGGTAATGAATCCTCGAGCTTCTAATCTTTATTCTTGGATAAAATTACACAAAGACGACTCTTTCCTTTTTTCAGGCTCCTTCAAAAAACTTTCAAAAAAATTGACAAACACCTGTTCACAATACTGTAATTTTTACTTCAAAAATTTGTATGAACTTATTGACAAAACTAAAAATGTAAAAATTCCAAAAAATGTTAAATTATAATTTTTTGACGTTAAAAATTTGTTTCCACCTAATAAAGTAATCAAACTTTTCAACACACTTTCAAGAAGAAAAAAAGTGAACATAATCATTAAACAAAATAAGTATATTAGATTCTCTCTAAATTTGCTTGGATCAAAATTATTCCGAATTTAACAATAGTTTTTACGCTTCTGATGAGGGTTTGACAATGGGACTCCATTGAATTCGTTATTTTCTGAAATGTTTATGGATGAGTTGGAAAAACAAATATTTAACCATCCCCTGAGTTAAATATTTCTTTATTGGCATCGATATGTTGATGATATCATTACTTGTTTTTCAGGCAGTGATAGACATTTGAATCAATTCCTGTCATTTATCAATAACCTTCACCCTAAAATCCAATTTACTATCAAATTAGAAGATAATAAATCCATTAACCTTTTAGATTTAACCATAACTAGTAGAAATGATATTCACTAATTTTCTATTTTTCAGAAGCCATCACACACCGATACAGTTACATACAGGGTGTCCGGATATTCAACCGACAACGCTTGACAGGTGAAAGACCACAAATTTTCATAAAAATTGAGAAAGGAACATGCAGCCTTCTGGATTTGGATTTGGTGGAGGGTGTGTTATTACGGCACTTAGGCCCCATTGGACCCCTTATGCGACCTTGCGACCTCCCGGTCCTGCCAATCGTTCAGGCCATCGTCCAGCCAATGTTTTGAAGAAGGCGGAGATGTAGCCTGAAGGGGCTTTCCTCAGAAAAGCCCTATCAGGCGTGCGCCATCCTAGAATGGATTCCCTTAGGTCCGAGATCGCATCGCAGTGCAAAGCAGATGCTCCACCGTTTCGTCCTCTTGTTCGCAACCCCTGCACAGAGGTGACTCGCTTAATTCCGAAATGGAGATATTTTCTTAGCTGTCAGAAACCCTGTAGTGAAACGAAGGTTTTTCCTTGACATGTCCAGGTACGATCTTGGGGCAACTTCATTAGGGTAGCTGAGCAGCTTCCTAGCCAGTTGACATGAGGTAGTCTCATCTCATCTGGACGTGAAGTCTTCAAGTCATCTTTTTGAGTCAGAATAGCAAGAGGCAGAACGGAAGGACCAGGTCCCAATATCGGGGAGATGGAAGCTGCCTTCGTTAGTCTGTCTGCTAAGTTAATGCCACGACACTGCGCGTGCCTCCTGGCCCACCTGACAGAAATCCTGTTTTTAGGGCGGCATTTGTCAGTGAGTTATGGCATTCTAGTACCGACCCTGCAGCAATTTTTGATTATTTAGGGCCGATAAGGCTTATCTACTATCAGAGTAGATAATGATTGTTCTGTCCTCGACTTTTCTGCAGACTATCTATCTCTTTAGCGGCAATAGCATGTTTATTCATAGGCCACTTAAGTTCCAGCTTCAAGCTTAGTGAGTAAATTTGACAAATGATATCGAAACCGTGAATGAATTTGTATTTCTCGCCTTAACAAACCCCCCGATACGTAATTTCGGATCGCTGTGTGGTTTTATTGAGGAATAATTTACAAAAATTGACAATAGAAGTAAAACTTTAACACCGGTGTATCTTGAAAATTAAGCACTTTAAGGCTGCATGTTCCTATCTCAGTTTTTATTGAGATTTTTATTAAATTGAAAAATTGAAAAGTTGAGGTCTGTCACCTGTCAAGCGTTGTCGGTCGAATATCCGGACACCCTGGCCAATCATCCATACTCTCATAAAATTGCAGCATTCAATTCGTTTGTACACAAACTTTTGAATGTTCCACTATCAACAGACAATTAAAAGAAGGAACTCAATTTTATTACAGGTTGCAATGAATAAAGGATTTAAAGGCCATTTTACAGCTTGCAAGAAAACTTGAAAGCAATTTTGTGCATGCAAAAAAGTTGCATTCAAGATTTCTTGCACTTCGTTTTACACCTTGCAATTTGACTTATTGCCTTCTAGTTCTCTAACCTTAACCATACTTTTGGGTCTTTAATTTTGTGTTGTTGATGTTTGCATTTTTCAAAAATTGAAAAAGTGATTAAAAGTCGATATAAGAAGAATAAAGTAATAGCAGCCACTTTGAGCATCTTAACTGTAAAAATTCCCCAGCGCAAAAACCCTTCAAGAAAAATGGCACCAAACCGATTCCATGCAATGCTATTCAAGTTTCAAGAATCTTGCAGGAAACAATCAGCTGACTCACTCC